AACTCTGCTACTTGCCACCTGTGTGATATTTATTAAGTTATTTAACATCTCTGGCCCTGTTTTCTCATCTTCAAATTGAGAGGTTTAAAGAAGGTAGATTCATAAAGTCTCTTCCAACTCTAAAACTACGATCCAATGAACCATGACATAGGGTCCTGTTACCAGTCTTGGGATTTCAATTTCCCTGTAGACTCAAGTTAGAGAAGAAAATGGAGTCAGAGAGATGTGGGATTTGCTCCAACATAATCTCTGATAGAGTGAAAATGGAGAGGAAAACAACTTTTTATAAACAGAATGCTCTGTGAGACACTTCCCCAGTTCTGGGGTCAACAGAATGCTCTGTGAGACACTTCCCCAGTTCTGGGGTCACAATGTTGTCTTTTAAAACAGCTGCTTACATGATGAAAACTTAACAATGCTTCAGACTGTGTGCAGTGTAGGAAAAGAGTTGGGGGGATGGAGGGTAGGTATCTCAGGGCATGAGCCTACAACCTACAGTGAACTCTTATGGAAATGGCATCAGATTGGATTCTGGTTCTAGCTCTGACACCTACCTCGCTGTGCAACCTTTGGGAAGTCACTCGACCTCTACAGGCCTGAGTTTCCTCCTCTGGAAAACGAGGGGGCCAAACTAGGTCATCTCTAAGGCTCCTTTCAAATCTGATGTTTCCATGCGGTTCTAAGCTCATCCTTTCACATGGCCGTAAGACAGGCTGAAGAGATGCTCCCAGCAATAGTATTGGCAAGGCTCAACAACAGTAGCCGTGCTCTTTAATTCAGCGTGTGGGTCTGCAGGGCACTGACAAGACAGGACAAAGGCTTGCACTGCTCAGTCCTACCGACAAGTGATCATAAGCACTTCCACATCCATATTTTCAAGTAATCACTTAACTGGATTTTTGGCTAAATATATTATCAAGATCTCTTAAGTTTCCCTGTATTTTTTGCTTTACTGCCTTTATTCAATTCAACAGACATTGCTTAAACACTTATTTATTGATTCTTATTATATTCTCCAGAATATTGGATTTCAAATCAGGAAGACTTCAGTTTGAATCCTGCCTCAAACTCTTACTGGCTGTGTGACCCTGGGCAAGTCACTTAAACTCTATCTCAATTTTCTCAGCTGTATAATGGGGATAATAATAGTACCCCACCTTCCAGGGTTGCTATAATGATATAAAATGTATAAAGTGTTTTATAATTTTTGTTTTGTTTTGTTTTTGTTATTTGGTTAGGCAACGGAGTTAAGTGACTTGCCCAGGGTCACACAGTTAGTAAGTGTTATGTGTCTGAGGCTGGATCCAGGGCCAGTGCTCTAAAGTGTTTTATAACTTTTAAAACACTATATACATGCTAGCTACTATTATGTGTAAAAGAACTATGTCAACTGACAGGCACTCAATAAATATTTATTAAGCTCTAGGCACTGTGATAAGTGCTGGGGATTCCCAAGACATGATCCCTGCCCTCAAGGAGCTCAGATTCTAATGAGGGAGACAACATGAACGCAACTGTGTATATAAAAGACACGTTCAGGGCGAATGGAAGATAGTTTCACAGAGGAGGAGAGCTTGGAAAGGCCTCCTGCAGACAGTGGGATTTGAGATGAGTCTTAGAGCTAAGAAAGTCACCAAGCGGAGGTTAGGAGGGAGAGAATTGCTTGTTTGGAGGATAGAAAGTGAAAATGTCTGGAGTCAGGAGATCGAGGAACAGAAAGAAAGAAGGCCAGTAATAGGCTGGCTGTGTGTAAGTGAGGCATCCAGACCCATGATTTCACTGATGCAAGGAACTCCCACTGAGAAAACTCCCTCATCCAGGGTAGATCTACAATTGTTTTATATCCTAAAGTCTTCGTGTTAACTGGGGTATTGAGAGGTTAAATGACTTGCTCAGAGACACACAGTGTCAGGGATGGGATTTGAACCCAATTCTATCTGACTCTGAGGCCAGCTCTCTATCCAATATACCATACTACTTCTTACTAGGAATTTGCTGTTCAGTCACTTTCAGTCATGCCTGACTCTTCATGACCTTGTCTGGGGTTTTCTTGGCAAAGATAACTGAAGTGGTGTGCCATTTTCTTTTCCAGTTCATTTTACAGATGAGGAAACTGAGGCAAACAGGGTCCATTACTTGCTGAGGGTCACATAGCTACTAAGTGTCTGAGGCCAGACTTGAACTCAGGAAGATGAGGCCCAGCGTTCTATCCACTGCACCACCTAGGCCTAGTATAACTAGGAATACAGAAATAAAAATGAAGCCTTGCCACTCATCAAGTTTCTTGTATCCTCCTGGAATTTTGTTAAGTGTACCATTATCACCTTCATGCTCCTCTCTCCCCACCTGTAATTTTAAGGATTACAATGGCTCTCCTACTGATTTCATGAGTTTTATCTTGGGAATAAAATGAAGTCACTGAAAGAAAATAACCATAAATGTTTAAGTATTGTGTTCCTGGACTCCACTTAAAGATACTTTAAATAAATGCAAATCTAAACAGATTTAGTTTTAAAAGATTAAAAGACCCTGCATCAAGAAAGAAAAGTCAAAACTTCAGATGGTTTGGAAAACACAGGGGTAAAAGATTTTTTTAAAATTTCATTTATTTAGTTTTGGTGAGGCAATCAAGGTTGGGGGAGGGGATAGTTCACCACAAGCCTCCTACTAATCGTGAATTCCTAATCACAGCAAATACGTGATTTTGTGTGTGTGTGTGTGGCAATTGGGGTTAAGTGACTTGCCCAGAGTCACACAGCTAATAAGAGTGTGAGGCTGGATTTGAACTTAGGTCCTCCTGACTCCAGAGCTGGTGCACTATCCACTGTGCCACCAAAATATGTGATTTTTTTAAAAAATCACATTTTGGATTGGAACTTGGTTTCCAGAGACTCTCTGTTCACATGTTATATGCCTCCAGTATCTAGATCAAATGAGAAAATTGTGTGTGTGTGGTTGTGGGAGCATGTTAGCTCCATGAGGATAAGGAATATCTTTTGTCTTTGTATTCCCACGATCTAGAACCTTACATACAGTAGGCACTTAAATAATTGTTGGATAGGGAAAAATAATTGGGTAAATTATCAGTGCTACAAACTGTATGCATTATGGGGAAAGAGTTGGGGGACAGTTTCCCTTCACAGTAGCTCATTAAGATTTTACACTAAGGCAGCTAGGTGGTGTAGTAGATAGAGCACCGGCCCTTGAGTCAGGAGGACCTCAGTTCAAATCCTGCCTCAGATACTTGATACTTACTAGCTGTGTGACCTTGGGCAAGTCACTTAACCTTGATTGCCTCACCAAAACTAAATAAATGAAATTTTTAAAAACTCTTTTACTCCTGTGTTTTCCAAACCATCTGAAGTTTTGACTTTTCTTTCTTGATGCAGGGTCTCCCTACCTTGTCCAGTTTGGAAGTGCAGCAGCCACTCACGGGCCCAGTACTGATCAGCACAGAAACTTTGACCTGATCCATTTCTAATTTGAACTGCTTCACCACTCCCTAGGCTGCCTTGTGCTCCTCCCCCTCAAAAAAAAAAATCTAGGGGAGGGGCAGCTAGGTGGCGCAGTGGAGCACTGGCCCTGAAGTCAGGAGGACCTGAGTTCAAATGCAGCCTCAGACCAAACACTTGACACTTACTAGCTGTGTGACCTTGGGCAAGTCACTTAACCCCAATTGCCTAAAAACACACACAAAAAAAGAAAAACACAAAAAAAAAATCCTGGGGGCTCACCATATTGGTACTGTGCTTAGTGTGGGCACCTGATCAGTTTGAGTCCTACTGAAGCTCAGAGCACAAATGATCCACCAACCTCAGCCACCCCAGTAAATGGACTACATGTATGCATCCAGCCTAAAGTTGAATCTAACCAAAGCCAAGGATAGATTTTTGTCTTTTGGGACCTAGTCCTTAGAAGCAGGCTCTAATGCTGCTAAAGGCAGGCTGTAGGCAAAATTGTACCCACATGAGAAGTACCCAGAACAGAGGTTCTCAACTTCTGGTGGGGTGTCATTTTTGGCAGTCTCATGAAGTCTACTGACCTGTTCTCAGATGTTTTTAAATGCAAAAAAAAAAATACAAAAAGAAAGTGATTATATTGAAATAAATTTATCAAGATGTTTTTCTTTCAAAATATCAAGTTTATGGGCCCCAAGTTTAAAACCTCTGCCTAGACCAGTCTTGACTGTAGGGTCATAAGCTCAGACGAGAGAACATATCAAGATGATGAAGACATCAAACCATTCTCCCTCAACCTTCACTGGGACCTACAGGGTTGGACTTGAAAGAAATTTCATGGGAAGAGAATTTGGATTCCAGTGCCTCAGGGGTCTGGAATAACCCACTCTAGAAAAACCTGCCTTGGAAACTACCCTGGGTAGGGGTCTGTCTCATTCACTCCAAAGGATGAACCTAGAAGTGGCCGTTTGGTGAAAATATTAGCCTCCAATACATCATAGATTTAGAGTTAGAAGGGACCTAAAGGTTATCTAGTCCAACCCCCCCCACACACACACCCCTTAGAGATGAGAAATCAGAGGCACAAAACGATTGAGTGACTTGCACAAGATCAACACAGGTAGTGACAGTCAGAATTAGAACCCAGGCCCTCTGACTCTAAATCCAGTAGTCTTGCCATTAAACCACAATGCTTCTATGATTCTACCAAAAATAAACTATAGTATAGGATTAGGGAAAATTGGGAGGGAGCAGAAAAATAAGAACAGTAATATTTAGCAAATGCGTTCATCTATGTGATATCATCAGTATCACTCTAACATAGACCAGTATAAGTCATTAACAACCAGCCTCTCCCTCTAGAAATTCAATAAGTAAGAAACTAAGGGCTGGCCTTGTGAATACAATTTGAATACTTTCACACAAACTTCTCCCCTCTTGAAAACCCAATGCAAGTGAAGAACAATGGTGTAAGTACGTATTGCCAAAAAGACTCTTTTGGGTGTTTTTTTTTTTCTTCATAAGGATCTTAAGATAACATACCTCTGATATTCAGGGCTTCAGACTTTTTCTGTTTTTTCCTAGTTTCCTCTTGAGGCTCATTCTGGGTGTTCAGGGAATCACCTGCATTCAAAGAAGAAACCTTGTGTTGTGTATAATTCTACAAACAAAAAGAACCAAGGGACTCAAAAACAATTTTTAAACCCTTGTCAGATTAGCAAGGTCCCCTTTATCCTCCACTCCCAGATGCACCCACGTAGGCACAAAAAGCCTCCCTCCACTACAAACAGAACAGTGTTTTGGCCTTGAAATAAACCTTGTGATCAGCAGTGGACTTTGTTCACTCTTCCACTCAAGTTAAAACCAATTCAAAGGAAACATTGGCCATAAAAAAGCCCCCCTCCTCTCCTGGCCCCCAAGACTTGAGGAAGGAGGGAAGAAAAGATCATTCTTATAAATTAAATGAAAACAAAATAGAATGCTATTGTGTCAAATTTTGACTCTGTGTGTGTGTGACAGAGAGAGAGAGAGAGAGAGAGAGAGAGAGAGAGAGAGAGAGAGAGAGAGAGAGAGAGAGAGAGAGAATAAAAGCAATGACCAAAATGTGAAATCAAGCAAGACTGACCTGAGGGCAGTAAAATGATACAGAAGAACCAAGAAATGAATGGGTGACCAGTAGAGGGGTGAGTAAGGAAAAGGGAAGGGCTGAATGGAAAGAAGAAAAGAAAGGTAAAATATCCAGAGGATGCAACTGAAAGGCACCTGCTTCACTGGGCTGCAGAGCAGCCGCTTTCTCCTCCTTCGTAGGGCTGGAGACCACTCTGAGAGTTAGGTCCGGATCCGAACCCGGTACTACAGAGGGTGGTGCAGAAGGTGGCGGCTGCTGCGCGCTGACTGCGTCCAGAGGGGCAGAAGGCTCTCTTTTGCCGATACTCAGACGTCGTCGGCGGCGGCCACAGCAAGTGAACCAGGAGGCACAATCCTGGAAGATTAGCAAGCCCACCACGTTGACTGCCAGCCCCAGGACACCTACGATGAGCACTAGCTTTGGATCATCAATATGCTCTGGCTGGGCCAGGCGCAGGATGGCCTCTACGAAGATGGTGAAGCAAAGGGCGGTGAGGAAGACTGCGTTGCTCAATGCCCCCACCACCTCCGCTCGCCCGTAGCCATAAGTGGCCTGGGCGCCTCGAGTGTGGCGGCGAGCGATGTACCCGGAGCTTATTCCCACGCATAGCGAGATCAGATCAGACAGCATATTGAAAGAGTCGGAGATCAGGGCGATGGAATTGCCCAGGTAGCCGGACACCAGCTCGGCCACGAAGAAGCTAAACGTGAGCACCAGCATGAAGATCAACCTGCAAGTCTTGCCTGAGTAGCGCCCCATCTCCCCTGAAGCCCTGGAGCGGGAAGGATGATCTCTGACTTTCTAGCAGCAGCTGGGCTCAATCGTGTTCACCATGCCTGCCCGCCGCGGCTGGGGATTCCCTGCAGCGCACAGCGCACAGCGCAGCACCGCCTTTTGTAGAGGGGCGCACTGAGGTGCACCGCCCGGGGTGGCGAGTGGGGCTCGCAGAAGGGCCTCTGCAACAAGTGTGACCGAAGACCTTGACAGACTCTGTAACAGCCTTGGATACCCAGCTCTCTGGCTTTCAGAAGTCAGCCCTGCCCTTTGGCTTTTTTATAAGGCAGAGAAGAGCGCCCCTAGCCTCCAAACCGGCAGAGTTTAAGGAGTGGCAGCAGCGGCTGCTGCAATCAGAACACCTTCTCCCACTACCCTTTCGCCCTTTTACCGTGACAGTGATGAGGAAACTGAAGCTCAGAGTGGTTATGCCTAATTATACCTGGCCCATGATCTGAATAACTAGTGTTAGAGGCAGGACATGGACCCCAATCTCCAGACTTCAATGCTTTACTCTTTCTACTACACGGCTGTGCCTCTTAAACCATGACAGAAAGAAAAGAAAAGAGGGAGGGAGGAGGGGGCAGGGAGAAAGAGAGAGAGAGAGATTAATGCATTTTTTAATGCATCAGAAAGAAAAAAACATAAGGAAGGCCAGAAGAAAACACAGACAAGCAGGACAGCTCTGAAAGTTATATCTATTAATATTTATCATATACAGTTTGCCTTTCCTTTTAAGTACATAATAAATTCAAGATAAAACTTTCAGTTTTCTTCTGGCCTTCCTTATGCTTTTTTCTACTTTGTACATAGAAATGCTCATTTCATTTGATAATTAAGTTTGGAATTAAAATTTTGTAAAGCTCTGTCCCTAACACAACGACCATTAACTACACTTCACACCAAAATTTATCTCAAGTAAGGCATCTTCCACTAACATCAGATTTTGCCCCCTCATACCTGTAAAGAGTTAATGAGCTTCCTCCTGAGGTATTGAGTTTTCCATCACCAAAGTCATTAAATGGAGACTAGGTGATTATATGTAGGAAATACTGGAAAAGGAATTATTGCTCAGGTAGGGTTAGACTAAATGATTCCTGAAGTTCTTTCTAGCTCTGAGATTCTATGATTACATGCAATAAAAAAAAAGTCTTAGAGACTATTAATAGGCTTGGGAAGAACATAGACTGTATGTGTACAAAACTGCCATTGAACAATAGATGACCACCAAATGTAACGAAGAGAAGGGTTACATCAGAAAACTGCATCCTCCTTGCCTCCTATCTCCTATTTGTTCAACTCCTCCACCAACTCACAAATATTTAGTATATGATTAATATATTAATGATCAAGTCAATAGCAGCAAGAATAGGATGCTGTTTATAGCTTACTTGATACACGCTGACTTTCGTCATTGCCGATTTGACTTTCGTGTCACTAAGCACTAAAAAAACCACAAGATCAGCAGACCTAGATCACATGAACACTGCTTAGTCACTCACCCTGGGGACAGATAGAACTGTGTCATAGACTAGGGGGTGGAATCATAGGAAAACCATTTGCCAAAGAAAAAGGGGTCTCTAGGTTTCTTAGCCGTCTTTAGGCTAGGATTGTACAGTACAGTTCCCTCCTAGAAGAGAGAGCAGACTTTCACATCTTTGACACATTTAATTTTTTCAACAGTCAGTAAAAAATAGAGCTTAACAAGTTGTCCGGTATCTTCTTAGAAGCCTGAGTAAGTGACACTAGAGTGAGAGAAGCAGAATTAGTTTGCAATTTGCCTAGAGTCCACAAATATTTTTAATGTGGTTTCATTGATTTAATTAAATCTTATCAATAAGATTAGGTATCATTAATTGATCATTTATTCATATAAATATGGCTGAAGAAAAGGTTTATACTACAGAAGTTTAGACCTGAACCTCCAAATATGGACCAGACATCTGTCCTTGGGATGCACCATGGGCACTTCTAAATCATTATGACCCAAACTGACCTTATTATCTTTCCCTCTAAACATTCTTTGCAACTAGCTCTTTCTATTTCTAGCACAACTATTCAAGCTGGCTCCCATGTTCAAAACCTTGGGGTTATCTTTGACTTTTTTCTTACCATCATTTCTCAGATCTAATCAGTTATCATGTCCTATCAGTCCTACCTCAGCAATCTCTCACAATCTGTCTATTTCAACTGCTACCACCCCGGCATATCCCACTAGTAACCTATAAGTTCCATGAAGACAGAGACTACCAGTGTCTGGTTTAGTAAGTATTTGGTGTTTGTGTATTTGAATTGAATTTAAAAAATTTTCCTCTGATTTGAGAAAAACTGATTTTAAAAGTCTAGATTTTTGAAACAGGTAAACTAGGGTGGGGAAAGTGGATAATTTTTCACTTTAACAAAGAAATGACCAAATCTTACCTTTGTAAAACAACAATTTTCATATTGATGCTAGATCAACTTTGTTCAAGCCCTGTTCATCTCTAATACATATTACTGTTATAACTTCCTAATGGCCCTCCATACCTCAAGTCTCTGTCCTTTTTAATCCATCATTCACATAGCTGCCAAAATAATCTTAAGGAACAAGTCTGATGGTAGGTTTTGCCCTCCAGATAATCACCCCCACTTCTCAAAAACCTTCCATGGCTACATATTTCCTCTAGGGAAAAAAAAAATCAACTACTTAGCATACAAGGCTCTCCACAATCTGACTCCAAGTTACCATTCCTATTTAACATTATTTCCCTTCACAAACTACATTCCAGCCAAACTGGGTGAGAAGTTGTTCCCTGAACCTGACATAGCTGGCATGTACTCCCACCTGATCTCTGCCTTTGAAATTTCTTCTCTTCCTCAACTCAGATGATAACTCCTCTATACTCTGCCCTTATTCTCACAACTAAAAGTGGCTTCTTCCTCCTCCAATTCTTCTGGAGTACTTATCTGGATGTCTCCTTTCCCCTCCTCTTCCTTCATAGCTTTCATTGTATTTACTGGTATTATGCCGTGTCTGCTCTAGTAAAATCTAAGTTCTTTGAAGGAAGGGCCATCATATTTAATCTTTGCATTCCTGGCACTTCCACAGTATCTTACAAGTCAATCAAGTCAATAAGCATTTATTACGTGCTCATTAGATGTCTGGCGCTGTGCTAAGTGCTGGAGATACAAAGAAAGGGGGCATGGGGGTGGGAGAAGTCCCTGTCATAAAGGAGTTCACATTCTAATGGAGGAGACAATATGTAAATAACTAGGTATCTACAAGATATATACAAAGTATATATACAAAGGCTTCCTGGAGAAGGTAGGATTTGAAGTGGCTCTGGAAGGAAGTTAGAAAAAATAGGAGGCAAAGGTAAGAGGACAGAATATTCCAGGAATGAGGAGCAGTTTATATAAAGTGACAGGGACAGGAGATGGAATGTCCTGTTCAAGGAAATACAGGAAAGCCAATGATATTGAAATAGAATGTGTAGAGGAAAATAAAGTGATAAGAAATCTGGAAAGAAGGAATCACGTTATGAAAAACAAACCAAGTAGTCTATATTTGATCCTGGAGGTAGTGGGGAACCACTGAAGCTCATTGAGGAGGAGAGTAAGAGGATCCAATCTACACTTCAGAAAAATCACCTTGCCAGCTGAGTGGAAAATAGATTGGAATTAGGAGAGACTTAAGTTAAAAGGCTATTGCAAGAATATAGGTAAAACATGCTAAGTGCCTGTATTAGGTGATTGTGTAATTGAAAGAAGATATGGAGGCAGCTAGGTGGCGCAGTGGATAGAGCACCAGCCCTTGAGTCAGGAGGACCTGAGTTCAAACATGGCCTCAGACACTTGACACTTACTAACTGTGTGACCCTGGGCAAGTCACTTAACCCCATTGCCTAGCCAAAAAAGAAAAAGGCCCAGTTTTTAAAAAATTGAAAATAAAAAATAAAAAAAAGAAAGAAGATATGAAAGTTGCAAAGAGATTGGATATTTCAGATGAGTGAGTATAAGGAATTGACAGTGATGCTCAGGTTAAAAGTCTGGGTGACAGGGAGGATGGTGGTACTCTGGACAATTACAGGGAAGTTGGGAAGAGGATAGTCTTTGGGGAAAAGATAATGTGTTCTGTTTCATACATGTATTTGGTTAGTCTATACAACATCCAATTTGTGACATCTACTAGTCAGTCTCTTAATAAATGTTTGCTTAATGAATGAAAAAGATACATGGTAGCTATAAGCAGGACCCATGTGAGAGAGAGCCTAAGGGATATCACAATCACATGTATAAACAGAAAAGGAGGTGAGTCATTTTTGGTACAAGAATAAGGGATAACCGATGGAGAGTTGAGAGTTTGCACTGGTATTCACAAAATCTTAAAAGAAATAGAAGGCTTCCAATACCTTTGGTAGATCTTATACTAAAGGAAGATATGAATGCGAATGACATATAAGAAGAAGACATTTATGGTGTTGCATTTTGCCTCTGTGGAGGGGAATACTCAAATTAAGAGAATAATTTAAATACTGAACCAATCCATTAACAAGCATTTATTAGTTGTCTACTATGTGCTAGGCACTGTATGAAGATAAAATATCGTGGTATCTTGTCCTTACATTCCACTGGTGTGGATACAACATGTATACATCTAAGTTCACACAAAATTGGTGGATTGCTGTCCTCTGTTCTCAAAGAGGACCAAAATGACATCACTATGTTGGGGTCAAGGTACAGTGAGCCCAACTATGGCTGATCAGACCAATCCTAGCTGGGAAAGCTCTATGATAGATCAAGCCCAAATAGTTTATGTGAACATTTGGAGTAGAGATGTATCTGAAAAATGGATACAAAATGCATACAAGGTAAATTTGGAAGAACACTCATAGCTAGAGGGGATCAAGAAAAGTTACTTGTAGGAGGTAGTAAGAGGTGGTGTTTGTCCTTCATTTTCAAAGAAAACCAATGACATTGCAGGGTGATGTCTTGACTTAAATTAAATTTAAGTGAGGCAGAGTTGCACAGAGTCATTAGCCTCACTCTCCCATCCAGAGTCATTAGAGTCCAGCGGCAAGATAAAAGTCAAAACGACTGTCCCAGGATACAATGAATGACCTTGGCATCTTTGATGTCTGACCAAGCTCTAAGCGCTCCATAGCACCTGCTTCAGCCACCTTCATAGCCATAGGAACAAATTGTTCTCATCCACCCATTCTGCTGGGGGAAGTTTTCGCATGTTTAGGGTAGACCACTCCCTAATTATTGACAGATTT